TCAGGGTTCTTATTTTCAAAGCACACTATAAAGCCAAAGTAACCAAAATAGTATGGCAGTAGTACCCGGATAGGCACAGAATTGAGGGTTCAGAAATAAAGCTATGGCTAACTAACTGTGTACAAAAGTGCCCACTTCATTCAGTAGAGGAAGAATAGTTTCCTCAACAGACGGTCTTGTGACAAATGGATACACAACCGGTGCCCTACCTCACACCATATGCAAGAAGTAACGCAAAATGAATAACAACCTGAAAATAAGAACTGAAACCATAAACTTTCAGCAGAAAACAAATGAACAAAGCTTTAAGGCACTGTTTGAGCTGATTCTTAGATCCAGCACCAAGAGCACATTAGCAAAATAAAAAAAAGGATAATTTGGACTAATATCAAAATTAGACACTTTGTGGCTGAAAGAACTTATCAAGAAAGCGAGAAGACAATCTAAAGAAGGGAGAAAATATCTGGTAACCATATAGGTAATAATGGCTAAATATATAGAATATATGAAATGCTCCCAAAACTCAACCAAAAGAAAAGGTTGAGTAAACTACGTTCTGCCACATACATACCAACTCCATGTGGCCCTATGCGAATTACCAATTTATCTGACTTCAGATATTTAAACAAAGGAAAATAAGAAAAAGTAATCTGCCGTAGACTACGCAGGATAGTAAAAAATTAAATTAAAATTTTACATGAATCCGCCATCACCTACATGGACTACTGTAGTGCTTATTGTCCTTCCTGCCTCGGCCTTTCTAATGTTTACTACTTGCCGATCACTGCCGGATTGAACCTCTCCTCTCCTCGCTTCTGCTGGCCCTCAGAACCTGTTCAATTTCTCAGGCGGCTCCTCCTTTTCCCTCCACTCTCACGCCCCGTCCTCTTCTCGCCCCCTCCGTGGCCTCCCCATCAGTGATCGCATCCATTCCGTGGGAAAGCCTCCCTTTACTTGTGACCTGCTTATTCTGTGCCCCTATTTTCTACTAACACTGGGCTGTCCACTAGTGCAGGGCTTGCTGCATAAGAAATTTCTGGGAAGCCTTTTTAAAAATATGTTTCTGGGTGGCCCTCCTCCTAATTACTTCAATCCATACATCTGGTATTTTTCAAAAAGCTCGCCAGGTGATTTTGATGAGCTGCCCAGTCAGACACTGCCACATCACTGTCCCTGCACCTCTGAATACTTGAAATGTTCAAAAAATAAAATGACTTCTTTCCAAACTTGCTCTCTCATACTACCTATTTCAGCTCACAGTATCACTTTATTCCTAATCACTGTAGTTCAAAATCAATTCACCCTATCAACTATGGCAGACTTTCCTTCCTAAAGCACAGCCTGAGCAGGAGCTCTCTGAGTATAAAGAGCGCCCAACAGTGCAGCCCGTCGCAGAAGTGCTAACCTGGCTGGCTACCTTCACCTTTCGATTCCACGTCACCTCTCCCCGGGGACCAGAGCTCAGACACGAAGCTCTCCGCCTCCTCAAACCAGCCCGACGTCTCCCTTCGTTTCCAGCCCTTCCCTGCTCTCTTCTCTCTGTTTCCACTCCTCCTGTGCTCATCTCAGTCAGCATCCGAATGTGATGTGAGCAAGACCTTCTCTAGAGCCGTTTCTAGTTGCTATGATCAAAAAGCCCCGAGTGATTTGCTCACGTGGGTTTGGCCCCAGCGATGGGACTGCCCACGGCTTGCTTTTGGTATTCCTTTATCACAGTGATGCCTGCTCATCTTTTGGTAT